AGGAAGAAAAATGGCGAGACTAGAGATCTCAAGAGGAAATAAACTAAAGTAGTATAATTGGACTGAAAATGCTGCAGAATAGAAACGATGAAACTATGAGATACAAAAATCAAAGTATAAAAACTAGAAAACATGCCGAGCAAAAATCGAAAATTTTCGGAGTGGATGCTAAAAATATCCACAGAAGGTCGATAAAATCTATATGAGGTATTTAAATAACTGTAACGTAATTTCTGGTAAGCCATGTCGTGTTAGGAATCACACGTTAAAAGCTAAGACCTCGTTAGACCTCAGCTCGCAGGAGTTTCGACTTTTGAGACTTGTCGTTCGAAGAGAGCCACAGCTGTTTAACGGAAAACAGAGTTTTAACATACAGATTACTGTTATAATGATATTCAAGATGGTTTAACGAGTCCTGTCTGATGGCAAACAGAACTAATGTAGGTTGAACGGAAACTAATTTTGCTACAAGAGCACGAGCTGCAGTGCGAAATTGGATTCACCTGTGAATTGTTGTAATGAGATGTTTCAAACAGGATATTACTCGAAGATAATGTTTTGAGGCTATGAACACTTATACATGGTGATTCTTGATGAGCGTGCTACTATTAAGTGGCAAATGTTTGTCTGTTAAACTTCTAGTAGTTGGTTTTTGGTATATTAATCTTTAAAATACAAATTGTTATCCATTGAAAACTTTGCATTTCATCTTTCCTCGAATTTTTATTCGTAACTTTGATGAGCTGTCGCGAATGATAGGAAGCGTTGTCAAGAACTATCACACTATTTGCATCCAAATTTGGGATCAATGTGTTTTTAAACCATTACTAGAAAATATTAGCTTTTATATTCTCATGATAGTCAACATTGCAGTCCTCAAGTTTTTCCCAAATAATTTCAAAGAATTCGGAACCCTTCCTTTACTTCTTCCGCAATGCACAATGATTAGGCATGTTAGGCGTACACATCCTGGAACCATCAGTCCACCCTTTCGTAACTGTGTCGTGATTGTCATACCAAGTTTCGTCCAAATAGAAAATTTGGACGAGGAATCTCATTGCTTCTGTAACAGTCGTATATTTTTCAGTGATTTTATTAGGTGAATATCTAAATGTTTTGGTAATCCTGTATCACATCGCGTCTTGCGTTCATAAGGTTTGTTTTTGACTATTTTACGTACAGTTGAGAAAGGGATTCCGCTCAAATCTGATGTTGCTTGTAATAGTTTGTTTCTCTCGAAACCAAACTTGAGAAGTAGATTCTTATATACATTAAAACATACTGTCTGTGTTTCAATATTCAAATGCATCTGAATCTTATTCACTGGTATCTCTTTTTCGCATTGTTCACCATCGCTATTGGAATCACTACACTGGAAAAAGTCTGCGTTGTTATCACATTCATTATTACTATTAGTATTTGGCTAAGGACACCACATTTTGAACATATAACAAAAATTTTAAGTAATTATAACTGCACCAATATCGAACTTCAATACTCAAATCGCAAACAGTTCCTGATCTGAACACGACGACGATAATCATCCCCGCATTTTCGATTTCTATTCGTCATCGTAACATGACTATACTCTTCATAGTTATGCTATTCATTTAGCCGAGTTTCCTCTGCGAATTCAAATTGAAACAAAGCGCTGCAGAAGCAGCCCGAAAGAACCAACCAGGCAATTGGTAATGATAGTGTTGATGAACGTACTGTTCAACGTTGATTTGCGAAATTTCGTTCTGGAAATTTCAGCTTCGAAATTGAGCCACGGAGTAGTCGACCTCCAGTAATCCAGAGCGAGGTTTTGAGGACCCTGGTGGAGACTAACTCATCACAAATGATGTCTGTTTGAAACGTATCGGAAAGGTCGAAAAGCTTAAAAAGTGAGTGCCCCACGATTAGAACGATAGAAATAAAGTGTCACGTTTCGAGGTCTTTTCTTCCTTGGTTTTGCGCAACCAAAACGATCTTTTCTTGGACAGAACCGTCACGTGTGGTGGAAAGTGGAACCTCTACCAATAGGAGACGTTCAGAACCGTGCTTGGTCACCGATAGACCTCACAGGTACTTCCCAAAGGCGAAAACCCACCAAAAAAAGACCATGGTTACTTTATGGTGGTCAGCGGCTGTACTGATTAACTAAAACTTTCTGCAACCGGGTCAAACCAACACAGCAAAATGACTATCAAAACATTTGGGAATGAAAAGAAAGATTGAACAAACGAACAGACAAAGTGGGCAGGGGCTAACCTCTAACTGGAGTTGAGTTTTTCAGTTTGGGTGGTTCAAACTGGATGAGACTGTATACTGTATATCACAGCAGAATGACTATCAGAATATTTGAAGTGGATAACACTGTATACTGTATATCATAGCAGAATGACTATCAGAACATTTGGGAATGAAAAGAAAGATTGAACGAACGAACAGACAAAGTGGGCAGGGGCTAACCTCTAACTG